TTTATGTATGTTGCTCTCTTGTAACACCTCTAATCTTCGGCACTTATATGACCTTATTCTGTTGCAAGTGCCACTACACTTTTACTACTACTAAGACTCATACCACACCATTGTTTGGGTGAAATGCTCGAAGTATCTTTGTTGTTCTTCAGCAGTTCTGTTTATAATAACATGGTTTGTTTTCTTTTCTTTTTTTGGTGGGGGGGGGGGGGTCCTGGAGCGCTGACTTCTGCAGTGTAAGCAAAATATGCTCTGGTGTTTGATGGATGTGCAAATTATGATAATGATTTCATTTGTTTTTTGTTTTTTATACGCCTTGTAACAGGAGAATTGTCGTTAGTACTACGTGTACTGTTCTGTGGGGCTACCTAACACGGTGTTTTGGTTAGGCTCTTTGCTGTTGCAAACGGAAGAGGTGGGTTCAACTTCGCTTTGGGAAGGAGAGTGGTTGGAGGCCGCTACTGATGGGTCCTACTTCTTAACTTTTTTCTGTTTTTTACTGTCTGTCTTACTTTTTTTCCCCAGTACTAATTGACCATTGTTGTGTCAATGTGTTTTTCTTTGCTCAAACATATAAATGTAGGTGGTTGGCGGGTGCTCTAGTGTGGTTTGCTCCTTCTTTCCTATCAAATCAAACATCTGTCGTCCTTATCTCCCCTCTTTCTTTGTGTGTTACTCTCTTGTAACACATAGTCTATTCTTCAGCACTTATATGACCTTGTTGTGTTTCAAGTGCCGTAAAACTCTTACTAAACCTAAACATACAAATAAGCATGGGGAAGGAATGTTATCGAGACCGTCCATCAGTGATGTGTCACTTTCAACCGAGGTTGGCCTTGGCATGGGTCGGATCAGCCCTCCTACGCGGTGTAGATTTTGTGTACTGGAAGAAAGGGGAGGGGGTGCATTTAATTTATTGATAAATCTAATCATGCTTTTTAAATGTGAATTAGGTAGTCGTCGGATTCGGCTACCAGTGGGTGGTTGGCGGGTGCTCTGGTGTGGTTTGCTTCTTCTTTCCTATCAAACGTCTATCGTCCTTATCCCCCCTTCGGCTTTTTCATGTTTGTTACTCTCTTGTAACACCTCTAATCTTCTGGCGCTCATATGACCTTACGCTGTTGCAAGTGCCGCAAAACCTCTACTAAAACCTCGGTTACCAGCCAACAACAATGGGGAAAGCTTTGATTATGACGCGCTACACACGTCGTGGTTTCTGCCCGTTGTTTCGCCTCGCGGTGAATGACCTCGAAGGTCATCGTCGAAGTGGACACACACACACACACACACCACTTTGACGACAGGTTAAGCTTAGTGCATGGTGGATGGGCTAGTAGACTGAGCCCGCTGTGTCGGTGTGCTCAGATGGATACAATGGGTGGTGTTGTGCTGAGAACAGCAGATCTCTCTCTCTCTCTCTCTCTCTCTCTCTCTCTCTCTCTCTCTCTCTCTCTCCCTCCCTCTCCCTCTCTCTCCAATGTTTGCACACTACGCTATTTGAGACCTTTCCACGTCAATTTTGTCATGTGACTTTTGTACGACAACGATCCGGGTAGGGCCGATTTTCTCCCCTCCCTATGGGAGATAAGATTTTAAAAAAAATTACACATACTGACCCCACAACTCCAAGCATCGTGAAGCTTCCGCTTGGTACATCGCATTACTTGATCGAGATATATCTAGTCATGCTTCGGGCCATTACCGCTACCACTGCTCGTTCGTGTATGACAAAGCGATTTTGTCCCCCTCCATTTCAGCACAACAAAGGGAGGGTTCAAGGGTGGGTGTTAAAGTCGAAAGTCCTGTCTTTCTATTCGTTTAAGACTCATGCCTGGGTGGTTGGCGGATGCTCTGATGTGGTTTGCTTCTTCTTTCCTATCAGACATCTATCGTCCTGATCTCCC